GGAATGATTGTAAGGTGTACATGTCCAACTGGCAGTTGTCATCTGACCTTGACCTCATTTTCATGGTTCAGTGGTCAATTTAAGTTTTTGAGTTATCGTCTTTTTTCTAAAACTATATGCAATAGGTCAAATATTTTTGGTGTATGGAAATATTTTATGATGTACATGTCAAACTTGCAGATTTTATTTGACCTTGACCTCATTTTCATGGTTCAATGCTCAGTGTGAAAATTTTGTGATTTGATCTGTTGTTCTTAAACTATAAGCAATAGGTCAACTATATTTGTTGTATGGAATGATTGTAAGGTGTATATGTCTGTCTGGCAGGTATCACCTGACCTTCACCTAGTTTTAATGGTTCATTGGTCAATGTTGAGTTTTCATGGTTAAGTTTGTTTCTTAGATACTATAAGCAATAGGTCAACTATATTTATGCACTTGACTCCAATCTTAATTGACTAGGATTGTCAGTTTTCCTATCGAAGGTCGGTGGTTTTCTCCGGGCGCTCCGGCTTCCTCCACCAATAAAAACTGGCCGCCACGAAATAGCCCAAAAGCGGTGCTTAAAAGTGGCGTTAAAACACCAAAAAATCAAAAAAAACAAATCAACTATATTTAATGTATAGACTGATTGTAAGGTGTACATGTCTGTCTGGCATGGTTCTGACCTTGACCTCATTTTCATGGTTCATTGGTCAATGTTTAGTTTTCTTGGTTAAGTCTATTTCATAGAAGCTATAGGCAATAATCACAATAGGTCAACTATATTTGGTGTATTGAATGATTGTAAGGTGCAAATGTATTTCTTGTTTGGTTTATCTGACCTTGACCTCATTTTCTTGGATCATGTTAAGTTTATGTGATACTTGTAGTAAAGCTTTTAAATTTATATTAAGGACTATCAACATAAATCAATGGTTAATAAAGTAGGCGAGACATTTCAGCGAGTGCACTCTTATTTAAGGATAAAGAGATTATGTCGGAAGCAAACTTGATTTTTTTAAACAAAATTTTCAGTATTTTACTGATAGGTTGATTATTTACAGTTGATATTTACAGACTGTCTGGAATTTAACTTTTTTGACATTATAGATTTTTAAACCTTCATAGATTGTTATGAAACTTAGACAGTATTATTTATCTTCAAGATCATGAAATATCATCTGAAAAAGGGTTTAGTTTTTGTATTTTACTGAAAAATGAAACTTTTTTTGTTAACATGTGCATTAGTAGCCATTACCTGATTGTCCAAAAATGTACAGGTTTGGTCTCTCTACTACAGCTTGAACATCTACAGGCTTCTTCTTCGGATAGGTTTTCCTAAATTCTTCATTGGTCAGGAAGTTTGCATGGTCATAGATGAAGCTGACCATAAAGCTTATATATGTATGGTTAAGGATATCTGAATGGTCATGCCAGATTTTAAGGTTAATTTGTCTCTCCATGGTCATTAATCGGTTAATTTCTGATGCTAAAGTGCTGTCTGTTTCAGTGGACTTTGTTGAAGATGAAATTTGTTTTAACCTATTATAGACAGCCTCCTTTGATAGTGATTGGTAGTGCTCGTCACTCCTAGATATTAAGATGCCAGATTTTGTAAGCCTTTGAATTTCTTTCAGCATTATATCTTTAAGGGGAATTTTCCGGCCATATACTTGAATTGATGTTTCTTGAATATTACCTGAAGAATCAATGGTGTTCTTTCGGATTTCCTTTGGGGCAATTTTTAGGCCAATGTCGTAAATTTTTGATTCCAATTTGTGCTGAATGATCGATTTGAGTTTTTTAGCTGTTCTTTTATTTGGAATAGCAAGTTTCCCCCTGAAGACTCGCTTTTTTGACCTCCTAATTCTTTGAAGATGGTCCCTTCCACTTATCCTTAAATGTGGATTAAATCGGTGGACGTCAATATTGTTGTCCTTTGCAAATTGCTTAAGGATTTGCCCCCCATTGCCAGCAAGCTTTCCGTTTAACGTAACGTTGTATTTAATAGCCATTCTGGTCCAATTCATGATGGTTGATTTACAATTTTTTACTTCCTCGAGAAATTCCTGTTGATCAAAATTATAATTTGCGTATTTGCCTATGTGTGTCTTCGGCTTTTTACCTGAGGCAAGTTTGGTCTGTAGGTCGTCAGCTTGTCTTTCAGCTTGGTCAGTTGTTACGTAACAGGTCTGAAGTCGCTCCCTTTCATACTGTAGAAAAGACTTCCCACTGGCAAGCAAATTTTGAATGTCGCCATCATTTTCAGTCATTGATTCTGCTATTTGTTGGGTTGTCTCTCGAATTGATGTCATAATTTTGTTGTTTTTTTCAACGACGGATTCTCTAGGTGACATGTTCATAACTTCCGCTAACGTTTTCTTAAAATTAATGTCATATTGGGTTTCAATAATTGGTTCTAAAACTTTAATAACATTTTGAACTGTTTTTTTCCCAATTGATGAAGATGGTGACACAATAATCTCATTGATGTTGTTAACAAGGTCTTTACATGGCTGTACTAATGATGAAGCATGAGAATATGACTTGTGCAGAGATGATATGCTGCCATGGGTGGTCAAACAGGTGGAGCAATCTTGCAATTTGTGGCTTTGCTTTTCATTTTCTGGAAGTTTAAGCCAGTTGAATAGAGAGAAGTTATCAGTGAACCTCTTTTTTTCACCAGCTTTGCCATTATGCACAAAATATTTGCTGTTTGTTACATAATTTTGAAGTTTAGGGAGCTGGTTTTTGAATATGTCATATGATGGTATCTGTAGATTTCTGTATTTTGTCATAAAAATGTTGTAGTTTTCATGTCTTTGCTGAATTGATACACTATTTATATAATTTGCTTTTACAAAATTTGATGTAGTTTTGGAATTATCGTAATTATTAAAAAAATCAATTGCTGCACTGTCTTTTGTTGATCTGGCCAAAATAACCTTTGCAAAGTTGCAGTAGTTCATGTTTCTAAGTGTATCATTGATGGAAATAAAATATAGAAGAGTGGAATACGCATTAACTGTTATTGTGGTAAGTTAGGACAGAATTTAACCAAATTTGACTCCTGTAATCAGTATGGCTGCTGTGTCCTTGAATGATCCCTAATTGGTGCAAAGGCCCCTTCCTACACAGAAAAAATTATATACCCAAAAACGGCAAAAGACGCAGGGAAAACGGGTGGAAAAAATATACATAATCATTAAAAAATACAAGTGAGATTTACATCATTTTATTGCAATGATAAATGGTGGGGATATATTTTCCTCGACTGTATATGGGACATTATACATGTACATGTATGCCAAATTGTGAATTCATGTATACACATTAACACCCTTCAAAAGAAGAAAATAGCATTTCAACAATATTTCACTCAAAGGTACCCAATAAAAATGTTGTCTCTTGTGTGTGAGGGTTTATGTTAGTGTTTATCAGATAATAATAGGGACATCAGATTGGCTTATTTTCAGTTAGTTCATAGTTTACTCTATATTTATAGTAAAGTTATATCATAAATTATTTATATATATGCATACAAAATTTTATTCTTAACACATATGACACTTAAATATAGACGTTTTAGAATCTTTCAAATAGATGGTCAACTTGTTTAGATTTCACATTCCTTGAAAATTGTTGTAAGAATGTTGACAATTCCAACTCCTCTCCAAGAACAAACTAGAGCTAATTGTTCTAATTATCACTAGCTCATAGCCTGTACAAGGGAAGATAACGGATATTCTCTTCAGGTTTGGTCTTTTCCTCAGTTATCCGAGATAGTTCATTTAGATTGTAGATACTTTCTAGATATCATGATTAATAAACGTAAACTACATCTGTGAAAACTGTTCCAAACACTTGATGAAATTGCAAAGGAATACTATAAAGTATATAAATCAACATAAAGGTAAGTTATTTTAATGAATGCAAACAATAATGCAAGAAATGATGATTACAATCGCGAGTCATATTGTTTTTGAGGTTTCGTTTTTACATTTCCCGCATCTTTGCAGAGTTGCGTCCCTTTCTGTTTTGTTGACGTCTCTTGAACGTTTGACGGTAACCGGTGATATTTTTACCTTTGTTGATAAACACAAAGAATCCTAAAATACAAGTTGTTCCATATGTTATAATAACGCGATGTCTATATCATCTTTTTCAGAATTTTTTTCTGCTTTTAAAAATTGCTACTCGCATTTTAAGAAATTACGATTAATGTACAAAATTAGTCTTTTTGTACGCAACTTCACAACAACGGACCTATTTACAGAATACATTTTTTATTTTAAATAATACTTGAGGTAGCCGGGTCTGCGAGTATCATTTTTTCTGAAGTTTGTAGATTTCTGAAGTGATGTGTAAAAACAAATCCCAATTTAATGGTGAGGAACAACTTGTGCTTTTCCTATTTGTAAATGTCACTAGACATACCACAGAAATCACGTGATATGAAAATACAGGTGTGTGTAAACATGAACCGGTGTTCTAAATTTTTTTATTAAATCAGTATGAACATTTTTCTTTATAATTGAGGTAAAGAAATATGGCTAGATGAAATACAAAAATCTGATTAAATTATTATGGGCGATTTTATGGAAAAAAACGTCCATAAGTGCCTTAACCTACCTGCGTTGTTGGGGTTCAGCATCAGACAACTTTATGACATTTACAAGTATTCAGTTCACATGTATATTCGATCACACACACACTATTGGGAGTGTTTGCAAGTCGATTAAAACACATATAAAATATAAATATGTAATACAGAATTAATGTTGTTATTGCGTAAATATTTTGAAATATCGGCAACATTTATTTTAATACGGACATGTGTTATAATTGTCTTCTGCATTCAACTGAACATTGAAAGTTATTTACAGAATATCGATCCCTGAATGGAACGTTAAGCATAGTATCTAACCCTGTGTGTCTTACATTTATTGATAGTTCTGGAATCATGCAGCCCGCAAATCGTATACGGAATGGTTATGGAGCCGTTTGGTTAAATGACGTAAACTGCAATGGTTCAGAAAGTAAATTACTGGATTGTAACTTCAATAACGTTACAGTACAATGTGATCACTATGATGATGTCGACCTCTATTGTTTTCTTAACTGTTCAACAGAAGATGAAGGTATAAAGGTCAAAACAAACGTTTGAAGGATTGTTTGCATTTACAAAATACTATCTAGTAAAGAGACATATATAAGGTGCAACAAATTAATTTATAATACATGCAATGATGATGGCATGTATACATATTGCAATTTTTTTTTGCAGCCATTTCTCGTTTTTGGTTGAACGCAAGGGTCAATTAGAAATAATAAATGTTTTCGCAAGAAAACAAGTGTTTAATAAGTGTTTGTTAAGTGATCTGACCACGTTTTTGCTACAACCGTCAACGTTTTTTTTTCATGCACCTAAAAATACAAATATTTGTTTATTGTTCGCGTTAACTTAATGTATAACTCATCAGTAAAGTAAATTTGTCTTGTAAAAGTGACTTTCAATTTTATATTTTACAAATTAAGACGTAATAATAATAACAAATATATTTGATAACATTCTCGGGACCCCTGATGATCACAAGGAATACAGTTTTCATAAAACTCCGCAGATGATTCTTTTTTTGTAAAGGACTTTTTTTAATGTCGCAAATAATAAATAAATACAGTTAATAAGAATCTGATATTCAGTAGTTGTCGTTTGTTGATGTGGTTCATAAGTGTTTCTCGTTTCTCGTATTTCATATAGATAAGACCGTTGGTTTTCCCGTTTGAATGGTTTTACACTAGTAATTGTTTTGGCCCTTTATAGTTTGCTGTTGGGTGTGTGCCAAGGCTCCGTGTTGAAGACCATACTTTGACCTATAATGGTTTACTTATATAAATTGTGACTTGGATGGATAGTTGTCTCATAGGCACTCATACTACATCTTCTTATTCTAGTATATGACTCAATATGCGCAATTCATTTTAGGCAGGCAACAATGGTAGCATTTTTTTCCGTTCCTCTAACCATAACACAAACTTGAACATGTATGATAGCTTGTTAATGTTGTTTCTAAGCAGAAACATGTTGATATGTTTAATTTGTCAGGGTATTAAGTTTTTCACAAAATTGACAACCCCAAAAGGATCCACATGATTCCGCTTCATCATACAAAAAGTCCTTATTTCCACATAACAGATAATTGTTGTGGAAAGTTGTAACATATGTGTTGTACAGTTTTCCGCACACAAATGAGTATGCCCAGTCAATTACTAAAAATAGTATCATGTCAGATACTATTGCAAACAGGTTGGGTTTTTTTCTTGATAATTGACTACCTTACTTTAAGACCCAAGTTGAAAACCTTGGTTCTATTCTTTAACAAATAATTCTTAACGATCCTCTTTAATATGACTTTCTGAACAAATCCGTGCATTTTCGTTAATTTCTGAATAAAAACAAATATCGCTCACAGACAAACATCTGAATTTCATAACTTATTTGTTTTCTGCAGGTGGTTTGCGTATAATTCCGGGTTACGCTAAGCATCAAGGACGACTGGAAATTAAGTATAGAGGTGAATGGGGAACAGTTTGTGATTATTACTTTGGGTATGTTGATGCAGAAGTAGCATGTAGACAGCTCGGATATTGGTGTGTATTACTTTCAAACAAAATATCAAATGCGCAAAGTAATTGAAATAATTTTCATTATTTCAATTTGGTTAAAATGCACACACAAATGACAAAGTTTTAAATTTGAAATGTAATATCCAACGATTGGATGGTCTCATTCGACAGCTAAAATGGAATAAAAAAAGGATTACATATTCAAGAAAAAAAATGATTAATTTCAAAATTATTGATCTAAAGCATTCCGTCAGCAGTGAGCTAGTGGAGATATGAAAGCCTTTAAAATACAAATTAATTCGAAACCTACAAATTGTGCGTTTATAGCAACATAAATTCGAATATTATAACATCAATCATATGGTCATTTTTGTAAATTTACTGTTTGCAAAGGTAACAATTATTCTAAATACTAAGGATTTTCTTATCCCAAGCATAGATAATCTTAGCCGTAGTTGACACATTTTTTTAGAATTTTGGGTCATCAATGCTCTTAAACTTTGTTCTTGTTTGGCTGTCTTTACTATTTTGATCTGAGCGTCACTGGTGGGTCTTATGTAGACGACACGCACGTATGGTGTATTAAATTATAAGCCTGGTACCTTTGATAACATTAAGTATGTCGAAATGTCCTATTGTAATGTTTATTTGTGTATTCCTCCGTCCTGAATGTTCTTATATTTACTTTTAATATGGTCCTGTCATGTAAAGTTGTCATTTTAGTGTTATATTTAACGATGCTATGAAAGCGCGAGGTTCGGCTAGCCGCAAAACCAGGTACAAACCACAACTTATTCTAAAAATGTCCTGTACCAAGTCAGGAAAATGGCAGTTGTTATCGTATAGTTCGTTTCTGTTTAGTTTTAAGATATTTTATTTGCCGAATTAAAGCAAAATGGATTAGACACAATTAAAACACTTATGAAGTCTTCTCAATAACACAATATAAAATTACAATAATAGTATAATATAATGAACATGCATATTAAGCAAACAGTTTATCGAATATAATACTAGCTTTCATAGGTAAAAAGAAGAGAAAGAGAAAAAAAGAGAAAAAGAAAGTATGAAAAGTCATATAATCTTATGATGATAACGTGTGTGTTGTTGTTGATGATAATTATGATGATAATGTTCCATGCCAGTAACAATAACGCTCTATTAAGGCACAAGAAATCTGTTTGACCTTTTTATGAAATTTTGAACACGTTTGAAAATTTGAATATTTTGTTCGTTCGAAAGTTCCAAGTGTCCGCAAATTAATAGTTTTGTATATAAAACAAAGTTTTTGGATAGCCAGTTAAGTTTTTGAATGAGATGTTTCTACATGATTTGTATTTTGGACAAACAAAGAAGTAATGGTGGACATCCTCAACATCTGACCTGCAATGACAAGAAGGATCATGTATAATATTAGCTCTAAAAAGGTCATTGTTTAAGAATGAAGCAAAGCATTGCAATTGCGTTAATATAATATTCAATTTCCTTGGGCCATACAAAAAAAAACGTATCAATTTTACATAGAAGACTATCGTTTTTTAATTAGTTCTTAAATTTTGAAATAGAGTCGACACTGCGAATGTTTGGACCAAGTTTATTCCATTGATTACTCCGTACGTTTCTGTGTGTCTGGCATTGTCGGGTTTGGTTTTTTGTTGCACTTCAGTGTTTCTGTTGTTTCGTTGTTTTCCTCTTATAGTTGATGTGTTTAGCTCAGTTCTAGTTTGTAACCCACTATAGGGAGTGTATGTAATTCGTTTAAATCACATATGAAATATATACATGTAATACAGAATTAGTTGTGTTATTGCGTAACTATTTTGATATATCGGCAACATTTTCTTTAAACGAACAGGTGTAAAAATGTTCTTCTGCATTCAACTGAACATTGATAGTTATTTACAGAATATTGATCCCTGAATGGAACGTAGCGAATGGTATCTTACCCTGTATGTCTAACATTTATTGATAGTTCTGGCATCATTCAGCCCGCAAATCTTATACGGAATGGTTAAGGAGCCGTTTGGTTAAATGACGTAAACTGCACTGGTTCAGAAAGTAGATTACTGGATTGTAACTTCAATAACGTTACATTACAATGTGATCATTATGATGATATCGGCATCCATTGTTTTCTAAGCTGTTCAACGGAAGATGAAGGTATAATAATAAAAAAAAAAAACAACGTCTGGAGCATTGTTTACATTTGTAGAATACTATCTAGTAAAGCTATATATTAAGGTGTAAACACATTAAGTAATAAAAACGTGCTTTAATTTCATGTATCGATAGTTCATTTATCTTCGAAACATGGTCTCGTTTTTGGTTGCCCGCAATGGTCAAACAAGAAATACTAAATATATTAACAAGAACACAAGTGTTTACTTTGTGTTTTGTTACATGAACTGACGCTCATGTTCACTACAGAGGTTAACTGGTTTTTATTTTGTTTCGTGAACCAAAAAATAAAAGAAACGTGTTCGGTTTTCTCTGTGTTTAAATCATCAATGACGTAAATTTGTGTTGTTTAGTATGTGTAAAACATGTAAAGTGACTTTACAGTTTATATTTCACAAATAAATTCTCTATATAATTGTTTAATTCTGTTCTTATATCAAATTTTTGGAAACTCAAATGATCAGACGAATCAGATTGTTCAGGAAACAATTTGGTGATTCCTGATTTAAAGTGGCATACATTGTATCTATATAATTGTAAGATATAGTACATGGCTCAATTTGCACAATTCTTTAAGGTAGGCGACAATGTTAGCCTTTTTGTCCATTCCTCTTTTTATACCATACAGTTGGATACGAACGATAGCTCGTTTCGAAGCATACTCATTATAATAAGATAATTGTCGTGGTGTAATGTTTTTTTCACTAATTGGGCAACACCAAATGGCACCACGTGATGGCGTCCAAACAAACAAACAATTCCTTCAGTTCAATTCTGTGGACAATCATCTCCAAAGTTGTTGCATCTTGCAGTGTGCTGCTCACTCATGGTTAGACTCAGTCAATTACTAAAAGTATTATCATACAGTTTCAAACACTTCAAGACAATTAATCTTATTTCGGTATAAGTCATCAATCGTAAATTTGATAGGTTACAGTATGGATGACAAATCAGAATGTTACTTTCAATCATGAAAACAGACCCTGTTTAAATATTAGGAAGACAATATTTCTGTGAAAGATTGCTTTTAAGTCAAAATATTTAAAATCTGGTATTTCCAACTGGAAAATCTACCTTAAGATGTTGCAAACATCATTTTTTTATATTATTAATTATTGCATTGTAATAAGGGGTAACGGGTTACCAGTGTGACAAAACTGTGTTTAAACATAATTCTTAATTCTTTTTAATGTAGACACTTTCTCACTATACTATGCATAATGGTTTTCAAATAAACATTATTACAACACAGGTCTAATAATATCCTGCAATAATCCTTGGTTAATAATAGTGTGTACAATTTTAGATAAATAACATTGAGAACAGAAACGGGGAATGTGAAAAAGTGAGAACAATATACAAAAGAGCCAAACAAAAACCCAGCTTTGAAAGCCACCAATGGGTTCTTGATATAGCGAGAAAATATCACACTCGGTGTGGACCTCAGCTTGCCTTAATCAAAAACGTGTACTAGTTCAGCGAAAATGGACGTCACTCTAAACTTCGAAACATATGTACTTTGTATGAACCACTATAAAAGTAATATAGAAAACTATCAAAGTACAGAAGCTCCTGAATTAGGACAGGTGCATACATGCGGCCGGGTTAAACATTTCTTGTGTGATCTCAACGCTTCCCCTATGCATTTAGTCAATGTTGAATGAAAAAGCACACAGCAATACACACAGTTTTAAAAGAAGTATGGGTCTTATGTTTGAATAAGCTTACAGAACAATCTAAACAAATGGCAATAATACATACGTTAAAAAAGGCCTACTATCAGTTACTTTCTTGCCAGTTACAGACCTCAACTCAACTGATTGAACGATTCTACCTCCATCATATGAAATGCAAGTACAATTCCTCCCTGTAGGAGTTTAGTATCATACCATTATAAAATATATGAAAAAAAAATATATACCGTATCATGCCAACAACATGAACTTATTTCCGATGCAAAAATCCTACCATTTAGTAAATGTTAATTTCAACAAAAAAAAAAACATTTTTATAAACCTGACACCAGTGTCGTAACTATACCCGGTATCTCTGTTAAAAGGTTTGTTGAGATTTAAATAAATCACACATTATAAATCAGTAAATCTTTCAAACTCAGAACAGATTGCATAATATAAATAAAAGCAATATTTGAACAGAATGACTACACAATTTTGCTGCAACATCCATAACATGTGTTAATGTTGACACGTTACAAACCAACAGTAGTTTTGAAATCACAGACTGGCTCAAATGATAAAACAATGTTTAACCGCGTTTAAACAGATCGAAGTTGCACTTTATTATTGAAATTTATATAACCGCATTATTATTCAGTATTTTTTTTTCTCGCATTTTTTTCATATAAAGATGCTTTAATACAGGAATATCAGTTGTTGTGTTATTATTCAACAATAAACATGTATTGTTTGGTAATTTTTACATCACCTGATGAGGTATTTATATTTAAGTGCAAAATCGAATAAAATCCAATAACCTTACTTAGATAAATGTACGATAACAAAATTATTACTATACATGCTGTCGTTATAAAATTCTTTGGTAATAGCTAATGATGAAACCTGTATATTAATACATATTTTCACAATAAGGCAATTTTGCAAGACACAAGACTATTGCAGCCGAAAAAAACAAAACTATCAGAACAAAATTACTATATTATCAAACTAATATTTGAAAACTGATATCCTGTTTGTAGGAAAAACTGTATCTGGTATATCTAATATTAAGACAATACCAAAAAGGCGTTTGGTATATTATAAGTTATATTGTTCGCTACTGACCCCTACCGGAGGATCCTAAAAAAGGAGTTTGAATATTATAAGTTA